GAGATGCCTGTTTCATGTCCCAGCAGAGAGCTGAGGAGACAAATGGACACAGGATTGTAGAGCTCAGGGGAGAGGCCTGCAGGGGACATGGGTAGGTGGGTTAAAGCTGTGAGATGAGATAAGGAAAAGCAGTGGGTGTGGACAGAGACAAGAGTAAGTTCAAGATGATTTGAGTCTAATCCCATTTTTTTCCATTCTGGTATTTGTGATTTTTACATTTTTGGAGGACAGGAATCCATTTAAAATTCAAATTGCACTTAAGCATGACCCTCTCCTACAGGAAAAGCCACACACTATTTGGCGAAGTATTTCAGGGGTCAGTGAAACTCTGTCTCTACCAAAAGTACAAAAAATTAGCCAGGTGTGGTGGTGTGCATCTGTGGTCTCAGCCATTTGAGGGGCTGACTGGGGTGGACCTTTGGGCCTGGGAGGCAGAGGTTGCAGTGAGCCAAGATTGTGTCACTGCACAAAAGCACGGGTGACCCAGTGACACTCCGTCTCAAAAAAAGAAAAAAAAAAAATTCCAGGACAATTTTATATACCTGAGCAAATGAAATGCCTCTTTCAATGTCTAAGGTTCTGATGGCATGAATCCTAAACATGTAATTATTTTCTCAGAAAAATCAGAGTAATATCTTCAAAATAAACACAATTGTAAAAACATAGCTATAGGTGTTTAAAACACGGAAAGAGAGGCAGCGGTACAAAGGAGATCTGAGCAAATGTTTTCTTCATGAACACAGGGGCTCTGCTGGAACAAGGTTCCAAGTCAATCCTGCCCATCCTTCAACATCTGCAAAGAACATTATGGATCAGAGGAACTTGAGGGGAACATTTACTTAGCAGCTCACAGTTCACCATTTAATCAGATGACATAAAGAAAGAAAATGGAATAATAGGCTACTTCAGCTAAATTTTGATGTCAGCATAAAGAAAAAGTTACTTGATATCTTTATCAAGTACACATCGAAACAACCTAAAATCATTTATCAGGTACCAGAAAATGTTTCCAATATATGATACAGACTAGAAAGCATGCAGTCCTCAATGCAAACTGAACACAACAAATTTCAGAGAAAATCAGTTTTAAAATGGTTAAAAACATATATCTAATGAAATGTGGGGTCAGAGAAGAATATTTTGAACACGTATCATAGTTGCAAAACAATGATGTGACCTCATAAGAATCTACCAAAGCTCTTATGAGAAGCAGTTATTTATATTATTTTATTTTAGAGGCAGAGTCTCGCTCTTGCCCAGCGAGAGTGCAGTTGCACGATCTCAGCTCACTGCAACCTCCGCCTCCCAAATTCAAGCCATTTTTCTTCTCAGCCTCCTGAGTAGCTGGCATTTCAGGCACTTGCCACCACACCAAGCTAATTTCTATATTACAGTCAAGATGAGGATTCACCATGTTAGCCAGGCTGTTCTCAAATACCTGATCTCAGATGATCCGCCCACCTTGGCCTCCCAAAGTGCTGGGATTACAGGCATGAGACTTAGCACCCGGCCTACTTTTTTTTTTTTTTTAAATTAAGAAACACGTTGGGCTGGTGGCTCATGGCTGTAATGCCAGCACCTTGGGAGACCAATATAGCTGTATCGCTTGAGCCCTGGAATTTGAGACCAGCTTGGGCAACATGATGAAAACCCATCTCTACCAGGAACACAAAAATTTGCCCAGTGCAGTGGCACATGGCTGTGTTCCTCGGTACTTTGGAGGCTCAGGTGGGAAGATCCCTTGAACCCAGGAGATTGAAGCTTCAGTGAGCTCTGATCCTGTCACAGCTCTCATGCCTGGGCAACAGAATGAGACCCATCTTTAATAGAAATGAAGAAAAAGGAAACACATGTGTCCTGGGTCTGGCGGCAGGGGGCCTCTAAGGCCAATTAACACGAACCTCAGGAGGTCCTGATGATGTGTGCCCAAGGTGTTTAGGCTGCAGTTTGGTTTCACACATTTTATGACACACAAGACGGCAGTCAACACACACATACATTGGTCCGGTCTGGAAAGGTGGAATAACTGGAATTGGGGAGTTTCTGGGTCACAGGTAGACAACAAATCATCACATTCTTTGAGTCTTTGGGCAGCCTTTCACTAAATACACAATTTATATGTGAGGGGGGAGGAGGAATAGTCACTTATGACTTAGACTGGCTCAGTGACCTGCATTTTTACATACACTATAGGACAGGGGAAGCAATCAGATAGGCATTTGTCTCAGGGTGCAGAGGCATGGGTTCTTGCCCACACCTGGAAAGATAAGCTATTAGTTTATATTGCCAGGGTGAAATTCAACAGAACTATTTTAGGGTGGAGATCTTGAGGCTTCCAGTTTGGGAGAGGCATACGTAGCTTTTAAAAAATATATTTGTAGCTATCTCGTTTAGGAATAAAATGGAAGGCAGGTTTGCCTGACGCGGTTCCCAGATTGACTTTTCTCTTTGGCTTAATTTTGATTTTCCTTTCACAAGCTTGTGACAGCCATAATGCTTTGACACACTGATACTGTTTTATATAGATTTTCCAGAACAGTAAAGTCCAAGGGTCTGTCATGAACCGGGTTAGAGAAGATGAGAAAATTTTCAGAAGAGTCCATCTCAAAAAAAAAAGAAAAAAACAAACAGAATTTAAAATACTCTACAGAATTAAGTAATGTGACTTTTTTTAAATGAAAAGTCTCACATATTTATTACTGAACCCAGCCAACCAAGGTGTTCATAACAGATCCAGAGAGAAAAAAATCATTCTCAATAAAACACGTCCAACTCTGCAGAGAGTGGTGACATTTTCAGCTTGATATGGTAACGTGACTGGATCCTCAGACAGCATAAATATGTGTGCCATCTCATGTGCAATTCCTTATAGACACACCTTGGCTCTTCTCCAGTGTCTTCTTTTGACAGTTGTACCTACAACACTGATGTGGATGGTCTGTCTGCCACTCTGTACATCACTTTCTTTTTTTTTTTTTTTTTTTGAGATGGAGTCTTGCTCTGTCGCCCAGGCTGGAGTGCAGTGGCACAATCTCAACTCACTGCAAGCTCCACCTCCCAGATGGAAGCTGCGAGAAGGAGAAGGTGGAAGCTCCTTCTCACGCCATTCTCCTACCTCAGCCTCCTGAGTAGCTGGGACTACAGGAGCCCACCACCATGCCTGGCTAATTTTTTGTATTTTCAGTGGAGACAGGGTTTCACCGTGTTAGCCAGGATGGTCTCGATCTCCTGACCTCATGATCAGCCTGCCTCGGCCTCCCAAAGTGCTGGGATTACAGGTGTGAGCCACCGCGCCCAGCCTGTTCATCACTTTCAACACTGTCTTTTCCCAACTTAAAAAGACTTATCCATTTACAAACCGGTGATTTCTTTCGGGCATCGTCCCCATAATCTTTTCATAAAGCATCAATGATTTCATTGTCCCTCTACTCAAACTTTACCAAATTCATTTTTTGATACACTGTCTCTGTCACCCACGTTGGAGTACAGTGGCATGATCATAGCTCCCTGCAGCCTCGACCTCCCAGGCTCAAGCCATCCTCCCACTGCAGTCTCCACAGAAGCTGAACCAGCAGGCATGTGCCACCATGCCCAGCTAATTTATGTATTTTTTGGAGAAGGGGGTTTCACCATTCTGTCCAGGCTGGTCTTGAGTACCGGGGGCTCATGTGACCCACCTGTCTCAGCCTCTGAAAGTGCTGGTATTACAGGCCTGAGCCACTGCATCTGGTTTCATCGTAAATTTGATATTTCTTGTTTCAACTTTAGCAGAATTCACATTGCTTTGAATGAGTCTCTTTTCAAACTCATGTGTTACCCATGTGAGTTCCTCAAACTAGAGCCTGTTCAGACATGTTATAACAGATTTGTACCTGTTTATTTTGGTGCAAAAAATGTGACATCATGCACAATTTTCTCATAATGTGTATTTTTCCATGAACTTCCTGAAGACCCCTTGTACTAGCAAACTGTATTCAAGAGGATATAAAAAGGATTGTAGATATTCAAGTGCCACTTATTTCTGAGATGCAAGGATGGTTCAACATATTCAAGCAAATCAATGTGATATACCACTTGAACAGAATGAAAGATGAAAACCACATCATCTCAATACATGGAGAAAAAGCATTTCACAAAATTCAACATCTAGTCATCATGGAAATCCTAAACAAAATAGATACAGAAGGACATTTACCTCAACAATAGAAAGACCATGCATGAAACAACCGCAGTGGAAATAACCAATCAGGGAAAATGGAATGCTCTTCCTGTAGGATCTCACATGATGCAAGAATGCTCTCACCTCTTCTATTCAATCAATACTGGCTGTCCTAGCCAGAGCCACGAAATAGCAAAAGAAATCAAACTCATCCAAATCAGAAAGAAAGAAGTAAAATTATAATAGTTTGTAGATGACATGATCTTCTGTGTAGAAAATTACAGAGTCACCCAAAATGCAACTGGAATAAACATATGCATTGGATTTGCAGAACAGAATAATAGCAGCAAAAACTAGTTGAATCTCCATACATTAACAATAAACAATTTTAAAAGAAAATTTAAAAACATTTTCAATTGCTAAAGAACTTAAAGTAAGAAATACTTAGGAATAAACATAAAAAGGTGAGAAATTTCTACCTTGAAATCTACATTGATCAAAATGACTAAAAACATGTATAGAGATATAAGCCATATTGAATGGAATAATATTGCTACATGATTATATAACCGAATGTGATTTAGATTCAACACAATACTCAGAAATTTCTATAAATTTTTGTTAAAGAAACAAAAAACAGGCTAGGCACAGGGGCTCACACCTGTAATCTCAGCACTTTGGTATGTGGAGGTGGGCAGATCATAAGGTCAGAAGATCGAGACCATCCTAGCTAACACAGTGAAACCCCATCTCTACTAAAAATACAAAAAACTACCCAGGCATGGTGGCGGGAGCCTGTAGTCCCAGCTACTTGGGAGACTGAGGCAGGAGAATCGCATGAACCTGGGAGGTGGAGGTTGCAGTGAGCCAAGATCACATCACTGTACTCCAACATGGGCAACAGAGCAAGATTCCATCTTGAAAGAATAAATAAAAGAACATACAGGCTGGGAAAAGTGGCTCCCATCTGTTGGCCAGGCTGGTCTCAAATTCATGACCTCAAGTGACCTACCTGTCTTGGTCTCTCAAAGTGCTGGGATTACAGGTGTGAGCCACCGTGCCTGGCTCAATTCTCTTAACATAAACAGTTTAATGTCAATTAATGCTTGAACTCAGTGTTAAGTCAACTCAAACTCAGGTCAAGGCTGATTTGACTCTAATGTCAATTAATGCTTGACGGTTTGCTGTACTCATTGCATTTGAAACAATTGTCTCCAAAAGGAATTTTCTGATGTTCTGCAAGGAGTGACCTCAGACTGAAGACCTTGCCACACTGACGACATTTGTAAGATTTCTGTCCAGTATGGATTCTCTGATGCCTAATGAGGTGTGAGGGTGAATTAAAGGCTTTTCCACACTCATCACACTTGTGAGGTTTCTCTCCAGTATGAATCCTCCTATGTCTTTCCAGGTGTGATTTGCGAATGTAAACTTTGTCACACTCTTCACATTTGTAAAGTTTCTCTCCGGTATGAAGTTTTTGATGACATGCAAGGTATGCTTTTGTACTAAAAACCTTCCCACATTCATTACACGTGTAAGGTCTCTCTCCAGTATGAACTCTCTGATGTTCTGCAAGGCGTGAATCACTCCGGAAAGCCTTGTCACAAACCTTACATTTGTATGGTTTCTCTCCAGTATGAATCCTCCTATGTCTTTCAAGATGTGATTTGCGACTGAAAAGTTTGTCACATTCTTCACATCTGTAAGGTTTCTCTCCAGTATGAACTCTACGATGTCCTGCAAGGGTTGCTCGTTGCTTAAAAACCTTGCCACATTCATTACACTTATAAGGTTTCTCTGCAGTATGAACTGCCTTATGAATTACAAGGACTGAATTTCGAGCAAAGGTCTTGCCACACTCATTACACTTGTAAGGTTTCTCTCCAGTATGCAGTCTATGATGGTATACAAGGTGTGACGTCTGACTGAAGGTCTTGCCACACTCATTACACCTGTAAGGTTTCTCTCCAGTATGACTTCTATGGTGACATGCAAGGGTTGCTTTTTGATCAAAAACCTTGCCACATTCATTACATGTGTAATGTTTGTCTCCCCTGTGAATTCTAGTATGTTGTGCCAGGTGTGAATCATGCTTAAAAGTCTTGTCACAAACCTTACATTTGTATGGTTTCTCTCCAGTATGAATTCTCCTATGTCTTCGCAGATGCAAATGAAAGCTTGATCCAAGCTGATCTTTAATAGGCTTGTTTCCACCAAGCCTTTGATCATTTCGGTCTGTACTACCTGTCAACTTTTTGATTTCTGTCACGCGTGCTTCATGGTCATTTGTTTCATCTTCTCGCCACTGAAACACAAAGTCATGAATGTTTTTCTCAATTTCCTGGGAGCACAATGCTCCAATGTGATAACTTGCTTGTCTTTGTAATGTCCCTGTGTGGAACACCTCTGTATTGCCTTGCCCTGTTGACGACAATGTATTCATCATGCATTTGGAAGAGATATCTACAAAATATAAACACCAATAGGTTTCCAATTAAGTACAGATGGTATATAATACTGAAATGTGTAAATATCACACACAAAAAAATACTTAAACTTCCCAAACATGAGCTTCAAAATTTAGGAACACAAAACAAGTAGATTCTTTAATAAATAAAGACCGATTACATGTACTTCAAATCATTTTTATAGAAGCCTATTTCCAATATCATGACAAAACACTGACAGGGCACAAATATGTGTAAGCCTAAAGTAAGGAGTATTTTTCCACTGTGACCCTAAAGTGTATCACACTGCACAAAAAACATATCACTGTCACATCAATGAAGACAAAAATATATATTCTTCATATATATAGTATATTTAGTATATACAAATAAATGCTAAAAAACCAGACAATGTACTATTTTGGTAAATAATCCACAACAAGCTCTTGTAAGGATAATCAAAATCAATGGAAATTCTGTATTATCAAACAATCATAGCACTGACAAGATTACAAAAATTAGCCAGGTGTGGTGGCCCACCCTGTCATCCCAGCTACTCGGGAGGCTGAGGCACAAGAATCAATTTAAACCAAGATGCAAAGGTTGAAGTGAGCCAACATCACACCACAGCACTCCAGCCTGGGTGACAAAGTAAGACTCCGTCTCAGAAAATAAAAAAAGGCAGGGGGTGGTGGCTCGCACCTGTAATCCCAGTACTCTGGGAGGCCGAGGCAGGCAGATCACCTCAGGTTAGGAGTTCGACCAGCCTGGCCAACGTGGCTACTAAAAATACAAAATGTAACCGGGCGTGGGCATGGGTAGCTGTAATCCCAGCTAGTTGAAAGGATGAGGCAGGAAAATCACTTGAACTCGAGAGGCAAAGATTGTGGTGAGCTGAGATCGCACCACTGCACTCCACCTTGAGCGACAGAGTGAGACTCTGTTTCAAAAAAAAAAAAAAGAAAGAAAATTTTAATACCATATCTTTCTGAATAACTGTTACAAAATTACCTATATCCATGTGGAACAGGCACATTGTGACTTTTTAAAAAACATTTTTGTATTTTTATTTTTTTGATATGGAGTCTCACTCTGTCACCCAGGCTGGAGTGCAATGGCATAATCTTGGTTCACTGCAACCTCCGCCTCCTGAGTTCAAGCAAGTCTCTTTCCTCAGCCTCCCAAGCACCTGGGATTACAGGCATGCGCCACTATGCCCAGCTAATTTTTGTACTTTTAACAGAGATGGGGTTTCACCATGTTGGCCAGGCTAGTCTCGAACTCCTGACCTCAGGTGATCCACACATCTTGGCCTCCCAAAGTCCTAGGGATTACAGACATAAGCCACTGTGCCCAGCGGCACTTTGTGACATTAATGAAGAGAATGTGTCAGTTATATTGCATACCACACACCAAAAACTCATAAAAATCAGTAAAATATTGCAACCCATGATAAAACAAGAAAGAAAATAAGTCGATTTATACCGCCTACAGAATTCTAAACAATTCCCTCTTAAGAAAAAAGCCAAAACTTGTAGTTACCACCAGTACACAACATAAGAACTGAAATACGTGTTAAGATCACTACCTTCTGAAGTATGAAGTGAAGAAAATACACAGCATTATAAGGAATAAGAACTGACTAACAGCCGGCCACGGTGGCACATACCTGTAATCCTAGCACTTTGATAGGCTGAGTCAGGTGGATCATGAGATCATACGTTCAAGACCAGCCTGGAACAAATGGTGAAACCCCATCTCTACTAAAAATACAAAAAAAAAAAAAAACAAAACAAAAAATTAGCTGGGTGTGGTGGCAGGTGCCTGTAATCCCAGCTGTTTGGGAGTCTGAGGCAGGAATCATTTGAACCCGGGAGGCTGAGGTTGCAGTGAGCCAAGATCGTGCCACTGCACTCTAGCCTAGGCAACAAGATGAGATTCCATCTCAAAAAAATAAAATAAGATAAATAACTACTTGTGAAATAATCTTTGGTAGATTTGATATTCTCTAATAGGATGTTCCTGCAGATGCAGACCTTGAGAGAACTGAGTCATGGGTGTTGACTACTCGTGAATAGGACCAGTGCATTTATAAAGAGACATTAAAGAGCTGTTTGCTTTTTCTTTTTTCCCCCTTTTTGGGCCCCGGCGGGAGGCGGGTTGGGTTAACCCTTGAGGAGTGTTTTCCCCGGGACCCATTTTGGTTGGCCCTTGCTTTTTGATTTTCCCCTTTTCCAATTTCTTGGGAATTAATTTTTTTTTTTTTAGGCTTCCCGTTTTAGGTCCTTTCTTTTTTCTTTGTTTTTCAGTTCGAGTTTCTCTGTCACCCAGGCTGGAGTGTAAGTGGCAGGATTCTCCTACCTCTAGTGATTCTCCCTCCTCAGCCCAGAGTCTCACGCTGTCGCTCGGGCTGGAGTGCAGTGGCATGATCTCGGCTCACAGCAACATCCACCTCACAGGTTGAGGTGATTCTCCTGCCTCAGTCTCCCAGGTAGCTGGGATTATAGGTGCATGTCACCATGCACAGCTGATTTTTGTAGTTTTAGTAGAGATGGGGTTTCACCATATTGGCCAGGCTTGTCTTGAACTACTGACCTCAAGTGATCAACCCGTCTCAGCCTCCCAAAGTGCTGGGATTTTAGGTGTGAGCCAGTGTGCCTGGCCCATTTTTGGCATTTAGTACATTCGAGGTTTCACCATGTTGGCCAGTCTGGTCTCAAACTCCTGACCTCAAGCAATCTCCCCACCTTGGTCTTCCAAAGTGCTAGGATTAGAGGCGTGAGCCACCGTGGCCAGCCAGTCTAAGCTATTTCTAACAGGACATTGAAATGACAGAGACAGGAACAGGAGCATCTCATCAACATCACCGAAGGCTGACAAATCTTATTAAACAAAGTAAGTTTAGGGTCTGTACTATAAATCTTGCAATACTTGAAGCCATCTAATAGCACTAACATGTTTTAAAAACCTTGAGACAGGTAGGGCATGGTAATCCCAGCATTTTGGGAGGGTGAGGTGCGAGATTCATGAGGTCAGGAGATCAAGACCATCCCAGCTAACAAGGTGAAACCCCATCTCTGCTGAAAAAAAAAATACAAAAATTAGCCTGGAATGTTGGCACTCCCCTATAGTCCCAGCTACTTGGGAGGCTGAGGCAGGAGAATCGCTTGAACCTGGAAAGTGGAGGTTGCAGTGACCCAAGATCACAGCACTGCACTTTAGCCTGAGTGACAGACTGAGACTGTGTCTCAATGAAAAAAAAAAAATAAATGACAGAAAGCTAAAGAGTAACTCCAACCCACAAACATATATAAAGCTCTCCAGTAAAGGTAAATAAAAAGACAGGTAGGCCGGGTGTGGTGGTTCACGCCTATAATCCCAGCACTTTGGGAGGACAAGTCAGGCAGATCACCTGGGGTCAAAAGTTCAAGACCAGCCTGGTCAACAAGGAGAAACCCTCTCTCTACTGAAAATACAAAATTAGCTGGGTGTGGTGGTACATGCCTGTAATCCCAGCTACTCAAGAGGCTTAGGCAGGAGAATCGGTTGACCCCAGGAGGTGGAGGTTGTGATGAGCCGAGATTGCAGCATTGCACTTCAGCCTAGATGACAAGAGCAAACCTCTGTCTCATAAACACATAAATTAACTAACTAATAAAGGACAGATACAGAAACTTGCATAAGTATACCTTTTCTTCATAACTAAACTTTTTTTCATATTATTTAAAATGAAAAGGTATGAAAAAACACTGTACATATATGTTAACAGAAATGCAACATACACAAAAATAACTCTGACATAAATTTAAAAAGTTCTGCTGGAGAAGAAGTAGTTTTTGCAGGTTATGGAATTTTTTTTTTTTGGACACAGAGTCTCGCTCTGTCTCCCAGGCTGGAGTGCAATGGTGCGATCTTGGCTCACTGCAACCTCCACCTCTGGGGTTCAAGTGAGTCTCCTGCCTGAGCCTCCTGAGTAGCTGGGATTGCAGCTGCCCACCACTGCACCTGGGTAATTTTTGTAAATTTAGTAGAGACGAAGTTTCACCATGCTACCCAGGCTGGTTCTGAACTCCTGACCTCAGGTCATCTGCCCAGCTCGGCATCCCAGTGCTGGAATTACAGGTGTCAGCCACTGCACCTGGCCAGGTTATGGAAATTTTAAGTTTCATTATTGTGCTATAATTTAAGATGTTTAACGTACCTGCAACAATAACCTCTTCCCATATATCAATACAACACACTTCACTTCTGCATACTGAAAGGAATGGACACTAACGTGGTTGTTATATTTACCCTGGAATCATGCTTCAACCACTTATATGTTTACTAAGAAGTAAAAGACAAAACTATTTAAAATAATAACAATGGTTGGGCATGGCGGCTCGCGCCTATAATCCCAGAGTTTTGGGAATCTGCGGCAGGTGAATCACTTGAGATCAGGGGTTTGAGACCAGCCTGACCAACATGGTGAAATCCCTTCTGTACTAAAAACACAAAAATTAGCTGGGCATGTTGGTGAGCAACTGCAGTCCCAGTTTCCAAGAAAGCTGAGGCACAAAAATCCTTTGAGCCCGAAAGGTGGAGGCTGCAGTTAGCCAAGATCGTTCCACTGCACTGTAGCCTGGGCGAAAGAGTGACGCTGTCATAAAGAAAGAAAGAAAGAAAAGAAAAGAAAGAAATAAGGAAAGAGCAGAGGGATATGTGGGAGCAAAGAAAGATGTCCCTTCAGAGATCTCAGGATAGAAACTTTCCTTTTCCCACAGAATTCTCCCACTTGCAGAGTTTCTCCACACACTAGTGGAAGGTGGAGCTTCCACTCTGCCCATCTGAGCTCTTACCTGCCTTTACGCCTGTAATACATTCCCTCCCAGCTGGATTTTGTTGCTATTTTCACTTCACTCTCCACAGTCCAGGGCTCTTTCCCTTGCCCCTACATGGTGACAACAGGGCAGAAAAGACTCCTACTTATAAAAAGAAAGGACCATGATGTGCTGGAGCTTTTCTAGAGTCCCAGCCCTGTATTTCTGTAGGAAACAAGATATTACAGATGGATGTAGGAAAATATTTCACTAATTGTTCCGCTGACTGCCTCCTTCTGAATGCTGAGGGAGCATCGTAATATGTAACACGTGGACGTCGAGCTCTCTTCCAAGAACTACTGAATTGAAAGCACAGGAGAAGCAAACAGGGAACTGGATATCTTTAATGCCGGCCATAAGGTTTTGTTTTTGTTTTTTGAGACAGTCTTGCTCTGTCATCCAGGCTGGAGTGCAGTGGTGTGTTCTCGGCTCACTGCAACCTTGGCCTCCTGGGTTCAGGTGATTCTCTTTCCTCAGCCTTTCTAGGAGCTGGGATTACAGGTGTGCACCACAACGTCTGGCTAATTTTTGTATTTTTGGTAGAGATTGGGTTTCTCCAAGTTGGCCAGGCTGGTCTCAAACTCCTGACATGAAGTGATCCACACGCCTCAGCCTCCCAAGGTGCTGGGATGACAGGCGTGAGCCACCACACCCGGCTTGCCATAAGGTTTTATCCCTACTTTAGTTCTGGAACCCACATTGAGGTATCATGAAGAAAGCAGAACATTTAAGCAAAGGGGACAGTGAAAGTCCAGATGCTACATCATGAGGCTTTTCATTTCAAACTCAATACAGCTTCCATTTGAGTCAAGCAAGAATGGGGCTCCCAAGAGAACCCAGAGAAAATGCAAAGACACACAAGGGCACATCCCCAGCAGGGAAGTTATCCTCACCCAGGGAGACCAGGTTCCTATAATTCTCCAGCATCACGTCCCTGTACAGAGTCCTCTGAGCAGGGTCCAGACATTTCCACTCCTCCTGAGAGAATTCTATGGCCACGTCCCTGAACGTCAATAGACCCTGAAATGAAAACACATTTTAAGGAAATGGTTATGGGAGGAGTTCTTATCTTTACAGAAAATGAGAAGAGGAGAGAGGGGAAAGCGTGGATTTAATTGTAGTGAATGTTCTGACAAATCCAAGTGAGGGATTTTTCACCACATGATGTCTTCCCAGTGGTATCTGATTATAATTTTTGAGGAGACCATAACATTCTCTCAGTGTGAATTTCTTATGTTTGTAAAAACTACAAGAAATGAATAAAAAATCAAAGCAAAGCTCCTTTTATACAAATGTTTGAAACTTTTATGGACACACCAAGTGACATTCAGTATCTAGATGAGACACAGCACGAGTGATGTCTTCAAAGATGTCAATGTCCACAGTTAAAGATCAGCTGGGTGCAGTGACATATGCCTGTAATCCCAGCTACGTGGGAGGCTGAGGCAGAAGAATCTCTTGATCCTGGGAGGCAGAGGTTGCCGTGACCCCAGATTGCATCACGGTACTCCAGCCCGGGCAACAGAAACTCCATCTCAAAATAAAAAACAAAACAAAACAAAACAAAACAAAAAAAAACAAAAAAAGAAAATTAGCCAGGCATGGTGGCAGGCACCTGTGGTCCCAACTACTTGGAAGGCTGAGGTGGGAGGATGGCTTGACCCTGAGGGTGGAGGTTTTCAGGGAGCTACGATCACACCAGGGCGCTCCAGCCTGGGCAACAAAGCAAGACCCTGTCTCTAAATAAAATAAAATACATGAAAACAAAATTAGTCAAAGCACAAAAATCCATTCTGTAAATGCTTACAAAATAATAAAACTTACACAGACTCAAAAAAAATTAGATGTTAATACAAAGGAATGTCATTTGTCCCAAATTTTCAAAATATAAAAGATTTTCAAAATATATACATGTTTGTACATACGTATAAATGTGTGTATGTGTGGGGATGTGTGTATATATATACATACACACACACACACAGATTTTAAATATGTAAAATGTAGCAAGTTTTGCCAGGCGCGGTGGCTCATGTCTGTAATCCCAACACTTTGGGAGGCTGAGGCGGGTGGATCACAAGGTCAGGAATTTAAGACCAGCCTGGCCAACATGGCGAAACCCCATCTCTACTAAAAATACAAAAATTAGCTGGGTGTGGTGGCATGCACATGGAGTCCCAGCTACTCAGGAAGCAGGGCAGGAGAATTACTTGAACCTGGGAGGCAGAGGTTGCAGTGAGCTGAGATAGTGCCATTGCACTCCAGTCTGGTGACAAAGCCAGACTCCATCTCAAAAAAAAAAAAAAAATAGCAAGTTTTGTTTAACTGAAAAGGAATCTCATCTTGCTAGAAAAGGATACTTTGGCAGCTGGTGGTGGGTGGAATCTCATCATATCTAGGAAACAGGAAATGCCTCATCCTAGACGAAGCAATTACCCTTTTAACTGCCTGGCCTGGAGGATGGAGAATGGCTTGAACCTGAGTCGGAGGGTATAGTAAGCCAAGATCATGCCACTATACTCCAGCCTGGGTGACAGAGCAAGACTGTGTTTCAGGGAAAAAAAAAATGATAATAGGTGGAATAAGAATATGGCTTTATCCTCTAGGATAAAAAACGCTACCATATTTGAGAAAAATTGTAACCATTTTTACCACAAACACCTGTTTCACAAGCCTCTCCACAGTGACACCACTGTCTTCATGAGCTTAATGTGCTAAGAATGGTTTAATGAATCTCCTGCTTTTAGGCTGATTTCATATTCTTAAAATAATGATAGGCTCATTCTTGTATCATTCATATCTATGTATGAACTTTACATTCTAATTAGTAAAATTTTTTGAGTCAGAAACACAGTAACTCACTCAATTATCTAAAAATGTACTGCAGAAAAGATTTCTCATTATTGGTCTCCTTTTCTAGAATTTACCATGTACTTTGTGCCCATTAATAGGTGACTTCCATTGGCAGCTGCTCTAATCCTGGTCCACAGAGACCTGACAGTACATCCAGATGTGGCCCCTGAACAATCCCTGCTGCCCAACAGCACTGACACCACGGGACCCTCACCCCGTCTCCATCCATGCCTGGTATGAGCCCTTCCCAGGCCCATGCCCAGGGCAGCCCCTTCCCAACTTCATGTCACTGGGTCACAAGAGATAAAATCTAAGCACGATGAGAGGGACTGAGGGAAGGCATGGGTGAGTGTGAGCAAACCTGTCAGACAGGACGCTTCAGACTCAGAGAAGATTCCCAACTCCAAGGCCCAGGGTTTCCGAAAGGAAGGAGACAGAACAATCCACCAAGAATATCATCTTACCTGAGGAAGAGCCATCCCTGACTCCTTTGCTTTCCTCTTCCTCTTCCGAGTATCTTCCTCACATACCAAGAGTCTTTAGAAGCCAATCCTGAATGTTAAAAATATGTTGTTTATTGCTCAGAATCAACACACCCCATCTCTGTAACACAACCACACATACAAAGGAGACCCCACCCTGGGAAATATGGTCTCCGATGCTGCCCACTGCCCCAGGGATGATAAACTCCTACAGGAAAACTCCCGCTCACCTCCTGAGGAGCCCACACACACGCTGCAGCAGTGGGGAGCTGGGCTGGAATGAGCTCCCCTTCAGGGCACAGACCCAGCCCTCAGCAAACCCCATGCAGAGGCTGGGTGCAGGGGCTCACACCTGTCATCCCAGCACCCTGGGAGACCAAGGTGGGTAGATCCCTTGAGCTCAGGAGTTTGTGACTAGCCTGGGAAACATGGTGAAACAACATCTCTACCAAAAATACAAAAACTTAGCCAGGTATGGTGGTGCACATCTCTGTGTCTGTGGTTCCAGCTACTTAGGAGGCTGAGGTGAGAGGATCATTTGTGCTCAGGAGTTCGAGACCAGCCTGGCCAACATGGTGAAATCCTGTCTCTACTAAAAATATAAAGATTGGGCCAGGTGCGGTGGTTCATGCCTGTAATGCTAGCACTCTGGAAGGCCAAGGTGGGTGGATTACTTGAGGTCAGGAGTTCTAGACCAGACTGGCCAACATGGTGAAACCCTGTCTCTTATTAAAAATACAAAAAGTAGCTGGGCTTGGTGGGCATCTGTAATCCCAGCTACTCGGGATGCTGAGGTTGGAGGATCACTTGAACCTGGGAGGCAGAGGTTGCAATGGGTTGCGATCAGGCCACTACACTCCAGCCTGGGTGACAGAGTAAGACTAAAATAAAAATAAAATAAAATAAAATAAAATAAAAAATAAAAAAAAATACTACAAATACAAAAATTAGCTAGGTGTGGTGGCGGGTGGCACCTGTATCTCAGTTACTTGGGAGGCTGGGGCACAAGAACCACTTGAACCCAGGAGACAGAGGTCACAGTGAGCCAAGATCATAAGACTGCACTCACAGCCTGAAGGACAGAGTGAGACTGTTTGAGGAGAAAAAAGAAAAAAAGAAAAGAAAAGAAAAAAAAAAGTATTTCTGATGTGATAAAGAGATAATAAAACCTGAGTAACACGATAGAGACTGATAGGCAGAGGGAACTTCAGATTGGGGTGGGAGGGCATGGGAGACAGCTCTGAGCCTAGACCTGAAGGAGCAGAAAGGCAGAGGGCTGTGATCATTTAGGGACACAGAGTAAGAGCAGGGGAAATGACCTGAGACAGGAAGGGTTTTGATGTTTGGGGAAAGAGAAAAGCAAATGTGACCAGGGCAGAGGGAGTCAGATGAGGGCAAGTTCCCAGGAGGAGGCTGGACACTGGCAGGGGCCCTGGACACAGGGCTGTGGAGCCACAGTGAGGAGCTGGGCTTTTGTTCTGGGGAACACGGGAAGCCGGTGGAGGGTTCCCTGCCAGAGACTGACATGACTGCTTTAGATTTCGCTGTGATATCCTCAGAGTGGGGACATATTCACCGAGTTACCCTGAGAAGGTCTGAGGTGAGTGAGAAGGTGTGCCTGAATTCTTACATGGAGGCCTGGAAGGGCTAATGGAAAGGGCTGGTCTTATTACTCCTCTCTTTGAAAAAGCATCTTTCACATGCCTGGGCTAAAGAAACTTCTTTTGCAAGGTTCTGATGCTATTGACTCTCAACATTTAATTCTTCCTTACAAGAAAATTACAGTAACATTTATAAAATGCAGAACTGTAAACACACAGCTACTGACCCTGAAAACAGGGAGGCCCGGCGGGGTGGTTCAGGCCTATAATCACAGCACTTTGGGAGTCCAAGGCGGACAGATCACCTGAGGTCAGGCGTTCAAGACCAGCCTGAGCAATATGGAGAAACCCCTGTCTCTACTAAAAACACAAAAATTATCTAGGCATGGTGGCGCATGGCTGTAATCCCAGCTACTCAGGAAGGCTGAGGCAGGAGAATCGCTTGAACCTGGGAGGCGGAGGTTGCCGGGAACCAAGATTGTGCCATTGCACTCCAGCCTGGGCAACAAGAGCAAAACTGTGTCCCAAACAAACAAACAAACAAACAAACAAAAACCAAAAAGAAAATAGGGAAAGAGGGTCAGCTGTAGAACTAAGATATAAGCAAATTTTTTCAATCAAGAAAACATGGGTGGCCAGATGTGGTGGCTCAAGCCTGTAATCCCAGCACTTTGGGAGGTCGAGGCAGGTGGATTGCCTGAGGTCAGGAATTCGAGACCAACCTGGCCAACATGGTGAAACCCTGTCTCTACTAAAAATACAAAAATTAGCCAGGCTTCATCTCCACAACTTACTTAACCTCTTGTTGCTCCTTCTCCCCAATCTTTAGATCATCCTCAATCTCCACAGATTTCTGCCTCTTCTCCCATCTCTGTGCCTCCTCTGCTTTCCCTGTTAAATTCTCTCTTCCCTGTTATAACCCCCTGGCCCCAATCTCTGGCACCTCAGATCCCCAGGTGTCCTCCCTGCTGTGGTTCTCCCTCCATTCTCCTTGCCACCAGCACCACTCTGCCTCTGTCTGCCCCAGCTCCAAATCCCTCCCTCCTTTCCCTCACCCTGATGAGCCTCCCTCTTTGCTGCCCCTTTCCCCACCTTGCTGTCCTTCATCTCTCTGTACATCTAGATTTTCTCTACATTTCTCCAGTTGCTTTTCTCCTGCTGCTTTTTTTTCCCCCCACTTTTGCTGTCTCTTGGCAAATCCCTCACCCATCTTCTATGTTGCCATCTTTTATGGGCCTTTCTCATTCTTTTCTCTGTCTCAGGTTTTTTACTGCTCTCTCTCTGTCTCCTGATCTCTTTGGCCCACACAATCACAGGAGGGTTTGGACAACTGCATGTCGGAGGAGCCCATTTTCCAGGGGCTGGCTCTGGGCAGGGAAGAACACCTTGTGTTGCAGGACAGGCCCCGGGCATCTCCCCAATGCGGGCCTGGGCAACAGAGCAAGACTTTCTCAAAATAATAATAATAATATATATATAGAGAGAGAGAGCAAATGATGTGTTTTCTACATAAACCATGGGCTTGGCCACACGCATTACCTCACGCCTGCAATCCCAGCACTTTGGGAGGGTGAGGTAGGCAGATCATGAGATCAAGATATTGAGACAATTTTGGTCAACATGGTGAAACCCCCTCTCTACTACAAGTACAAAAGTTAGCTGGGCTTTTTGGCATGCCCCTGTTGTCCCAGCTATTGGGAGGCTGAGGCAAAAGAATCCCTTGAACTCTGGAGTCAGAGGTTGCAGTGGGCTGAGATGGCACCACTGCACTCCAGCCTGTCGACCAAGTGAGACTGTCTCAACAAAAAAAATCACGGGCAGCCGGGAGCGGTGGCTCAAGCCTGTAATCCCAGCACTTTGGGAGGCCGAGACGGGCGGATCACGAGGTCAGGAGATCAAGACTATCCTGGCTAACACGGTGAAACCCCGTCTCTACTAAAAAAAAATACAGGCCCGGGCCCGGGGCGGGTGGCTTCAAGGCCTGTAATCCCGAGCACTTCGGGGGAGGCCGAGACAGGTGGATCACGAGGTCAGGAGATTGAGACCATCCTGGCTAACACGGTGAAATCCCTTCGCTACTAAAAATACAAAAACTAGCCGGGCGAGGTGGCGGCCCCCTGTTAGTCCCAGCTACTCAGGAGGCTGAGGCAGGAGAATGGCGTGAACCCGGGGAGGCGGAGCTTGCAGTGAGGCAGGAGATCCGGGCCACTGCACTTCCAGCTCTGGGTGAAGAGCGAGACTCCGCTCAAAAAAAAAAAAAAAAAAAAAAAAACATCAACGGGCTTACCATTAATGCACTTCTGCACATTACTTCAAATTACATCCACACACTTAAATTAACTTCAGTTCAGACACTATAAGCAAAAACCTGGAGAGGACACAACCAAAGCTACTCACCAGGCTGAGGTGGGAGGATTGCTTGAGCCTGGAAAGCAGAGGTTGAAGTGAACCAAGATTGCACCACTGCACTCCGGCCTGGGGGACACAGTGAGATCCCATCACTTCTACCTCCCAAAAAGTTGGAAGCTCATTGAATTAAGACACAACTTCGAGAAATCATAAAAGTAATGCATGAAGAAAATGAGAAGGTCAACCAACATAGAGAAATTATGAAGAACTACACAGAGACTCTCGGGCTAAAAATACAGTAACTAAATGGAAAAACTCAATACATGGGTTCAAAATCAGAATTCATTATGTAAATTAAAAACTAGTGAAGAGGGGTCAGGCAAGGTGGCTCACACCTGTAATCCCAGGACTTTGGGAGGCCAAGGTGGGCAGATCACTTGAGGTCAAGAGTTTAGAGAACAGTCTGGCCAATATCGTGAAACCTTGTCCCTACTAAAAATACAAAGATTAGCTGGGTGTGGTTGCTGGCTCCTGTAGTCCCAGGTACTCTGGAGGCTGAATCAAGAGAAGTGCTTGAACATGGAAGGCAGAGGCTGCAGTGAGCCAGACTGCCCCACTGTACTCCAGTCTGGGTGACACAGCGAGACTGTCTCAAAAAAAAAATAAAGAAAATTCCAGGACTATCTTTTATATACCTGAGCAAAAGAAATGACTCTCTCCATGTCTAAGGTTCTGATGGCATGAATCCTAAACATGTAATTATTTTCCCAGAAATATGACAGTAATACATTAAAAATAAACACAAGTGTGAATACATAGATATAGGTGTTTAAAATACTGAAAGAGGCCAGGTACGGTGGCTCATGCCCGTAATCCCAGCACTTTGGGAGGCCGAGGCAGGCGGATCATGAGGTCAGGAGATTGAGACCATCTTGTTCTTCATGGTGAAACCCGGTTTCTCCTAAAAATACAAAAATTAGCTGGGCATGGTGGTGTGTGCCTGTAATCCCAGCTACTCGGGAGGCTGAGGCAGGAGAATCATTGGAACCCGGGAGGCAGAGGTTGCAGTGAGCCAAGATCGCGCCACTACACTCCACCTGGGTGACAGAGTGAGACTCCATCTCAAAAAAAAAAAAAAAAAAAAACCTGGCGGGGCGTGGTGGCTCATGCCTGCAATCCCAGCACTTTGGGAAGCCGAGGCGGGTGGATCACCTGAGGCAGGGAGTTCGAGACCAGCCTGACCGACATGGAAAAACCCTGTCGCTACTAAAAATACAAAAGTAGTTGGGCATGGTAGCACATGCCTATAATCCCAGCTACTAGGGAGGCCGAGGCAAGAGAATCACTTGAACTGGGGAGGCGGAGGTTGCAGTGAGCCGAGACCGTGCCATTGCACTTCAGCCTGGGTAACAAGAGTGAAAATCCATCTCAAAAAAAAAAAAACAACCCAAAACAACAACAACAAAAAACACTGAAAGAGAGGCAATGGCAGAAATAAGCTGTAAGGAAATGTTTTCTTCATGAACACATGGGCTCTGCTGGAAAAGGTTCCAAAACAATCCAGCCCATCGTTCAACATCTGCAAGGAATATTACCGACCAGAGGAACTTGAAGGAAATGTTTACTTAGAAGCTCACAGCTCACCATTTTATCAGATGACATAAGGAAAGAAAATGAATAGGCTACTTGAACTAAATTTTGATGTTAGCGTAAAGAAAAAAGGTCCTGGGGCTGGGCGCGGTGGCTCACATCCCAGCACTTTGGGAGGCTGAGGTGGGTGGATCACCTGAGGTTGGGAGTTTGAGACCAGCCTAACAAACATGGAGAAACCCCATCTCCACTAGAAATACAAAATCAGCTGGGCATAGTGGCACATGTTTGTAATCCTAGCAACTCAGGAACCTGAGGCAGGAGAATCACTTGAACCCGGGAGGTAGAAGGTGTGGTGAGCCAAGATCGCGCCATTGCACTCCAGCCTGGGCAATAAGAGCAAAACTCCATCTCAAAACAAACAAACAAACAAATAGGTCCTTGATAGCTTTATAAAGTACACATTGAAACAACCTAAAATTGTCCAGGTGCGGTGGCTCATGCCTGTAATCCCAGCATTTGCTGAGGCTGAGGCAGGCGGATCACCTGAAGTCAGGAGTTCAAGACCAGCCTGGCCAACATGGTGAAACCCCATCTCCACTAGAAATACAAAAATTAGCCAGGCTTGGTGACAGGTGCCTGTAATACCAGCTACTCGGGGGCCGAGGCAGGAGAATAGCTTGAACCCAAAAGGCGGAGGTTGCAGTGAGCGGAGATTGTGCCATCACACTCCAGCCTGGGAGCAGAAGGGAGACTTCATCTCAAAAAAAACAGTAAGAAAGAAAGAAACAACCTAAAATCATTTATCAGGTACTAGTAAATGTTTCTAATATATGATACTGACTAGAAAGCATGCAGTCCTCTATGTAAACTGAACACAACAAATTTCATAGAGAAACTATTTTAAAATGGTTAAAAATATATACATCTAATAAAATCTGGGGTGAAAGGAAAATTTTGAACACCTCTCAGAGTTGGAAATTAATGATGTGAGCTCATAAGATTCTACCAAAGTTTATTTGAAAAGTAGTTATTTTATTTTTTTCAGATGGAGTCTCGTGTTGCCCAGGCTAGAGTGCAGCAGCATGATCTCATCTCACTGCAACCTCCCCCTCCCTGTTCAAGGGATTTTCCTGCCTCAGCCTCCTGAGTAGCTGGGATTACAGGCGCCCGACATCACACCTGGCTAATTTCTGTATTTTATTTGACAGAAGGTTTCACCATGTTGGCTAGGCTGGTCTTGAACTCCTGACCTCAGTTGATCTGCCCACCTTGGCCTCCCAAAGTGCTGGGATGACAGGTATGAGCCATTGCATATGGCCTTTTTTATTTTTATTTTTTTTTAATTAAGAAACAAGGCAGGCGTGGTGGCTCATGCCTGTCGTCCCAGCACTTTGGGAGGGCGATACAGCTGGATCGCTTGAGCCCTGGAGTTGGAGACCAGCCTGAGCAGCAAGGCAAAAGCCCGTCTCTACCAAGTACACAAAAATTAACACGGTGTGGTGGCGCGTGACTGTGGTCCCAGCTACTCTGGAGGCTGAGGTGACAGGATCCCTTGAGCCCAGGACGTCGACGATGCAGTGAGCTTTTATCCTGTGGCCGCTCTCCCGCCTGAGCAACAGAGTGAGACCCACCTCCAATAAAAAAAAAATAAATAGGAAACACCTGGGTTCTGGATCTGGGGGCAGCGAATCTAAGACCAATTAACACGAACTTACCAAAACTAGACAAAAACGAAAAATCCCATCTTCCCACCGGAGTAACAAAGGATCAAAGGCCGCTCTCCCTACCGCCCTCCCGCTTCCAGCAAGTCTCAGATAGAAAGGAAAGAGCCCAGGAGTGGCCACACCCTCCATCTGCACAGGGCACCCATCTGCTCTGGCCTCGGGCCAATTCACCACAGCATTTCGTTGGCCAAGGGCCAAATGCTTTATCCAGATAAGGGGTAGCCCATATGGACCTCAAAAGAAATACTTTGACCCCATAAAACTTTGTAAACGGGGCCCTGGAGACGCTGGCTCGGTCCCACTCCCCTCTGTGGAGTGCTTTCTGGATTGCATGTATTCGTTTTCCGGGAGTTGGAACTGGAGAGCAACAGGGCCGGCTTCGCACAGGGGTGGCGTCTGCAGGATCTTAGGACCAGGCAGAGCACGGGGCCTCCCGGGAAGTGGGGTTGAGGCGCTGCGCTCCTGAAGCTGACGACAGTGACGTTGGGAGGCGCCCAGGACGGGAATCGAACTCGCGGGTGAGGATTTGAAACAGCGCGAGGCGGGAGGACGGGTCAGGAAGGGTTTTGAGAGGAAAATTCCGCGATAGGAGGTATCTACACGACCCCACTGCAGAAAGACCGAGTACAGGACCTGAGTCGGGGCCACTTTAAACTCAAAAGGAAAGGACTCACGGACTCTCACCCGGAGGTCTCAAGTTTGCTCTAGGTTGAGAAAGAGGGGTCGCAATTTCCAGGTCTGTGGGGACCCAACGTCTCCGGTACAGCAGCACCAGAGGCCTGGGAAGCACACATAAAACAGAACGAAACTCACGCGCTGCGGCGTGACCTTCAGTCCACGCCATCCGCTTCCGGGTCTGTGTCAATGAGCGCAGGACAGAGGCCAGGCCAGGGCGGCCCCCCGAGGAGGTGGGCGGGGCCTGAGCGAGGCCGGGGCGGGGTAGAGAAAGCAGGAGCCTGGCTGGAGAAGAGGCCTAGGCTGGGAGGGGTCCGTGGGGCGAGAAGCGGGCGGGGCCTGAGCTTCTCTCCATCTCGCTCTCCGCGCCTGTTTTCCGGGTTTTGGAGGCGAAATCCTCCAGTGAGGCTGGAGCAGCTCAGCAGTCAGGGAAATAGTACCTCCCTGAGAAGTCAACGTGAGTCGGTCATTGGATCCAGGAAAGTTCCTTGCTATTGAAATTAATTTTAGCAATTTATCCAAAGCCTGGAAGTTGTCTAGGGCAGGAATGCAAACTAGAATGCGAAATACAAAGCCTTGCCTGAGCGAAACCTCCAATTTCATGCTGATGGCCCACAGAACAGAATAGAAATCCTCTCCCTTTCAATTCTCCATTCACTGGGGTGGGAGAGTCCACCCTGTGCTCAGCTCCTGAGACTTCCCTAGGGCCACCGCCTGGGGTGCGGAGCGGAGGGCTCAAGCCAGGGAGGAGTGAGGTCACCACCTGCTGCTTAAACACAGCAGGGATGCGGGCGAGGTGCCTAGAGGCTGGGGTCCCAGCTACTCAGGAAGCAGGGGCGGGAAGACCGCTGAGCCCGGAGGTCCGGGCCAGCCTGGGCGACAAAGTAAGACCCTCTACCCCAGAACTCCTTCCTCCGCCTCAATAAGAAAAAAAAGTGATTTCAAAAAAAAAGCACTGACATTGTAACAGTGCATATAAAATGTCCACTTATTTCTTACATGTGTTATTTCATGTTGCACTTGGAATGAGTTATTCTTGTCGTGGAAAAGAGTCAAACTCTGTAAAATATTTTAAGAGATTTATCCTTAGCTAAAATGAATGACTATGGCCCGTGACACAACCCTCAGGAGGTCCTCAGAACATGTGTCCAAGGTGATGCGGAAAAGCTTGTTCTTAGACATTTTAGGGAGGCATTAGACATCAATCAAATACATTCAAGAAATACATTGCTTGCTTCAGAAAGGCGGGACAACTCAAATCGGCGAGACAACTCAAATCGAGGGCTTCCAGGCTTTAAATTGAAACATTTTCTGATTGACAATTGGTTGCATTTGTCTAAATACCTGGGATCAATAGAGAGGAAACGTTCAGGTTAAGATAAAGGACTGTGGAGAACAGGGTTCTTTTGAAGTCTTCTGCTGGCTGCCCTCAGATAATAGATGACAAATGTTATCTATTCAGACATTTAAAAGGTGCTAGATTCCTACTTACTCTCTTTAGGATTGGGAAGGCCTAGAAGAAAAAGATCTAGCTATGTTAACAGAGATTCTTTACAGATGCACATGAACCCCTCACAAAGAACAGCTTTGCAGGACCTTTTCAAAATATGGCAAGAAACATGTTTTGGGATAAAATATTTTGACTTTGTTACATGTTACACCAAAGTCAGACTGGAAAGTAAGACAGGATATATAGAATTAAATAAAACCCATCTGATGAGTATTTATGCTTTGTAGGGCATGACTCCCCAGACCCCTTAGATAGGAATTTGGGCAAGTTAAAAAAAATCAGAGCTTAGTCCTCATTCTCATATCCTTTTTTTTTTTTACATTTCTTCCCTGCAATATAATAATTGTACAATAAACATCGTTGAAAACATATCAATAATTTCTAAATGTATTGTAATATTAAATTCACTTTACGTGTCTTCTCTAATTAGAAAATGTATATTTTATTTTCTTCTTTTTTTTTTGTTTTTTGAGACGGAGTCTCGCTCTGTCGCCCAGGCTGGAGTGCAGTGGTGCAATCTCGGCTCACTGCAAGCTCCGCCCCCCCGGGTTCACGCCATTCTCCTGCCTCAGCCTCCCGAGTAGCTGGGACTACAGGCGCCCCCCACGGCGCCCCGCTAATTTTTTCTATTTTTAGTAGAGACGGGGTTTCACCATGGTCTCGATCTCCTGACCTTGTGATCCGCCCGCCTCGGCCTCCCAAAGTGCTGGGATTACAAGCGTGAGCCACCGCGCCCGGCCGTATATTTTATTTTCAAGCTGGAATTTTTTTTTTTTTCCTGGAGACAGGACCTAGTTATATATCCCGGCTGGAATACAGTGGTGGGAACACTGCTCACTGCATCGACCTCTAGGGCTCAAGCAGTCCTCCCACCGCACCTCCCAACTAGCTGGGGCCACAGGCCGGCTTTTTAATATTTTGTAAAGGCAAGGTCTGACTATGATGCTCAGGCTGGCCTTGAACTCCTGGACTCAAACAATCCTCCCACCTTAGCTTCCCAAAGTGCTGGGATTGCCAGCAAGCCACCACACCCATCCAATTGTAATCTATTTTGGGTGTTTTCTTTGTTCTTTCCTGAGTGTTCTATCAGGTGTGAATAACAAAGACTAAAATAGTCTTCAAACATTGGGTTTTCTTTTTTCTTTTTCTTTTTTTTTGAGACGAAGTCTGGCTCTCGTTCACAGGCTGGAGTGCAATGGCGTGATCCTGGCTCACTGCAACCTCCGCCTCACCATGTTAGTCAGGCTGGTCTCAAACTCCCGACCTCAGGCAATCCACTGGCCTTGGCTTCCCAAAGTGCTGGGATTACAGGTGTGAGTCACTGCACCCAGCCTCTATGTTCCTTTTAAAAAAATCATTCTAGCTATCTTGTTTAGGAATAAAATGGGAGGGAGGTTTGTCTGTCGGTTCCCAGCTTGACTTTTCTCTTTGGCTTAATTTTTATTTTCCTTTCACAAGCTTGTGACAGACATAATGCTTTGACACACTGATATTGCTTTATATAGATTTTCCATAACAGTAAACACAAATTAAGGTACTCCATGGAATTACATTATTTGACTTTTTTTAAATGAAAAGTCTCACATATTTATTACTGAACCCAGCCACCCAACACGTTCATAACAGAGAAAAAATATGTATTCCCAATAAAACGTGTCCAATTCTCCAGATAATGGTGACATTTTCAGCTTGATATGGTAACATGATTGTGACACTCAGACAGCATAAATATGTGTGCCATCTCATGTGCAATTTCTAATAGACACAGCTTGGTTCTTGTCCAATGTCTCCTTTTGGAGTTGTACCTGATTTTCTTACCAGTTTTCATCTGAATCCACTGGGGAATGGAACAATTTTGCTTTTGTTTCTTGGCCAGGAATCGCTTAATCCTGGAAGTGTGAGAAGATCTGGTGAGAAGCAGAGTTAAGTACACACCACGATGGTGGAGAAAGGAAAGAGAAGGGACTTGACTTGGTTTTTTTTTTTTTTTTGAGACAAAGTTCCGCTCTTGCCCTGGCTAGAGTGCAATGGCGCCACCGTGGTTCACTGCAACCTCTGACCCTGGGTTCAAGGGATTCTCTGGCCTCAGCCTCCCGTGGAGCTGGGATTAGAAGTGGCCGCCACCATGCTAAGGAAAGAGAGAGACCCTCTCACACTGTATATTGTTTTATACTCAGTACCTGTTTTAATAAAAAACAAGGAAGTAAAACCAAAGACAAGCAGCCCGGCGCCAGGCCCAAAACCAGGCCTGGGCCTGCCTGGCCTAAACCCAGTAGTTAAAAATCAACTCATAACTTAGCAACTGATGTTATTCATAGATTCCAGACATTGTATAGAAGATCACTGTGAAACTCCCTGCCCTGTTCTGTTTCTCTCTGACCACCGGTGCATGCAGACCCTGTCACATACCCCCTTGCTTGCCAAATCAATCACGACACTTTCATGTGAAATCTTTAGTGTTGTGAGCCCTTAAAAAGGACAGAAATTGTGCACTGGGGGAGCTCGGATTTTAAGGCAGTAGCTTGCCCATGCTCCCAGCTGAATAAAGCCCTTCCTTCTACAACTTGGTGTCTCACAGGTTTTGTCTGCGGCTCGTCCTGCTACAATGCCAGCTAACTTTTATATTTTTAGTAGAGACCGGATTTCACCACGTTAACCAGACTGTTCTCGAACTCTATTGTTTCTGCTGTTAGCTGTCAGTCCTCTTCATTGCGGCATGAACAAGATTTTTTTTTTTTTTCTGTAAAACTGATGTGGTCTGCCTGCTGCTCCCTGCATCACCTTCAACACTGTCTTGTCCCAATTCAAAATGAGTTATCCATTTACAAACTGTTTTTTTGGGCATTGTCCCCATAACCTGTTCATAAAGCATCAATGATATTATTTCTCTACCCAAACTTTCCCACAAGTATTCTTTTTTTTGAGCTAGTATCTTGCTCCGTCATTGCCCAGGCTGGTCTTGAATACCTGAGCCTACGTGACCCACCTGTCTCAGTCACTGAAAGTTCTGGGATTACAGGCCTGAGCCACTGCATCTGGTCTCATTGTAAATTTGATGTTTCTTCTTATTTCAAGTTTAGCAGAATTGATATTGCTTTGATAGAGTCTCTTTTCAAATTCATGTCTTATCCTTCTGAGTGCCTCAAACTACAGCCTGTTCAGACAAGCTATAACAGATTTGTACCAATTTATTTTGGTCCAAAAAGTGTGAAATTCATGCACAATTTTCTCATAATACGTATTTTTCCATGAGCTTCTTGAAGACCCCTTGTACTAGAAAAGTGTATTCAAAAGGATATATAAAAGGATTGTAGATATGCAAGTGCCACTTACTTCTGGGATGCAAGGATGGTTCAACATATTCAAGCAAATCAATGTGATATACCACTTGAAGAGAATGAAAGATGAAAAACCACATCACCTCAGTAGATGGAGAAAAAGCATTTCACAAAATTCAACATCCAGTCATCATAGAAATCCTAAGCAAAATAGAGAAGGCAATCTACCTCAACAATGGAAATAACCAAGCACAGAAAATGGAATGCTTTTCCTATAGGATCTCACATAATTCAAGAATGCTTTCACCCCTTCTATTCAATAAATATTGTCTGCCCCACCCTGGCTAACACAGTGAAACTCCGTCTCTACTAAAAAAACAAAAAAATT